AAACGAGCTGTTGACTGTATTAAAAACTGAAAAACGAGCTGTTGACTGTATTAAAAGCAGAAAAACGAGCTTTTGACTGTATTAAAAACTGAAAAACGAGCTGTCGCAGCAGTCGGACACAGCTTGAAGTTGTAGTCGAGCCCTTGTTTGCAGTTCAGTAGCAGCTTTGTGACTCTGTGTTTTACGTCCCTGCAGCTGAGCCAACATGGGGAACTTTGCAAGCCTTTTTAAAGGACTGTTTGGCAAGAAAGAGATGAGGATCCTGATGGTTGGACTAGATGCTGCTGGAAAGACTACCATCTTGTACAAACTCAAACTGGGAGAAATTGTTACCACCATCCCTACCATTGGTGAGTCATGTCATGCGTTGTTAGACTAAGACCTCCATAAGCTGATTTGTTGGTGTCCATGCATCGTTTCCTCTCTTTGTTCTCAGGGTTTAATGTTGAGACGGTAGAATTCAAGAACATCAGCTTCACAGTTTGGGATGTTGGTGGTCAGGACAAGATCAGGCCCCTCTGGAGACATTATTTCCAAAACACGCAAGGTGAGACCGATGTGATGTTTCTGTTCTGTCCGTCCGTTTTGAATCCGAGATGTTTGTCTGTCTCTCATGTACGAACGGTCGTCTCTGTTTTCAGGCCTCATCTTCGTAGTGGACAGTAACGACAGAGAGAGAATTGCAGAAGCGAAGGAGGAGCTGATGCGAATGCTGGCTGAGGACGAGCTGAGGGACGCCGTGCTGCTTGTGTTTGCTAACAAACAGGTGAACTTGTGTTCCTTTAAAAACACCATGTTGATTATTAGGTAGGTTTGACAGTTCATGTACACAGGTGGCTAATTTGTGGTACCCTTCCACAGCAATATTAAACCCCCTGATGTGACTGGAGTCAAGAAGCTCCAGTTTGTCTCATCAGTCCCAGATATGGTAGAACATTTTCTGTCAGTGGTGGGGCCATCATGTGTTCTCCACCAGAGTCCATTGTCGTTTAAAGTGTGATCAGAATAGCTTTGAGTTATGCTTGAATGTTTTTTGGACGTTTCTTTGGCTCTTTTTCTACCGTCTGCTCTCTTTGTTGGCAGCTGTAGTTAGAAGAACAAGAAGCTGCAGCAGGTGGTCCTGCAGCTTGTAGCTTTTCATATCTCTAGTCTTCTCTCTGAGCTCCTCGGAAAGCTTCCACCTTCTCTGCTCCATGTTCAGCACGGAGCAGTAACAAACTACCCAGTGGCACGTTCGTCCCATTAAAAAGGCTGAATGGTTGAAAAGCTTCAAGGCACCTGTGGTACTAATTCAAGTCCAGCAGTTTGAAATATGAACGTGTTGCACAGAAAAATGACCTTTAAAGTACCAACATGTCCGTCTATATTGTTTTAGCACGTCTGCGTAAGGTAAACCGTCTCTTTTCACATTTTTGCAAACTTGCTCACACTAAAGCATGCACCGTACTTTCTGCCGTATAAGTCGCATCAGTCCAAATATGTTGAACAAAGTATAAAAATCAAGACAAGAATTTAACAAGATTAGCACTTAAAAACGATTTGTTTGCTCAACATTATAGTAAAGTTGTGTCTCAGTTGAACTTTTCCTTAATAAATGCACTTTAACGGTGAAATCAGCTGCATTGCTCCGGGTCGGTGCAGTGAAATTAAGCTGATTTGACGGTTGTTCCAGGCGAGTTGGATGAAGGTGCCTCTATGGTAAGCCTGTTGTGTCATTAATAGCCACCTTTACCTATTACATGACACAACGGCATGCCATACAACTCGAGTGCCATTTAGTGGCTGAAAAATACGGTTGATCTGTAGACGTCGTTGCACATGGACAAAGTACAGGAGGAGTTGTTTAAAGGTGTAGAACAGAGATTATGCTCCCAGTATTTGTGTTAACAGACTAATGCAGATGATTGCATGAAGCTGATCATGAATCTTGAGTCCTGCTCTAGTTGGGCAGGTCTTCTGTATAACGTTATGACCACTTTTCTATTTCAACTCCACAATAAAATCAAAGCACGTCCAAAGTGAAGATCTTGCTAACGTTTCCCCGTTTTTGTCATTTTGTGGTATTTTTATTTTAGGACCTGCCGAACGCCATGAACGCTGCTGAGATCACAGATAAACTGGGCCTGCACTCCCTCCGTCACCGTAACTGGTACATCCAGGCCACGTGCGCTACCAGCGGGGACGGGCTCTACGAGGGTCTGGACTGGCTTTCAAACCAGCTAAAGAACGCAAAATGATTCATGGGTCCACCTCCACCGTCAGCTCTGCGGTGTTTGTTTGGGAGTCGGCACTGGTCCTGGTCTCAGTCTTTCCTCGCCGTTTCTTTTCCTCTGAATAATTTGTCCAGTGCCGCTCTGCATCCGTGTACTGTTTGTGCGTGTGTTGGGTAAGTGTGAGTGTTTGAATGGGTCTGTGTGGAGCTAAGTGGGAGCAGCCCTGCTGTGCCTTGAACACAGTGCGCTCTGTCCACTCGTTCCTCCAGCATCAGAGGCGCTGGTTTCCACGAAGCATAAACCAACGCACCGTCCCGAGTGCTTTCTTCAAAGAATGTTTAAGAGAAAACAAACCAAATGACAAGAAATGTTTTTTTTCATTGTTAGGTACATTTAAGCCTTTTGATATCAGTTTCCAACAGTCAGCTGTGGAACGTCAACCATCCTGGAGCAGTCGGTGTTTCTTGAATTAGTGCAGCTTTATGAAAAAATAAACCTCCAAAAAGCCGATGATGTTACAGACGTCAGTTTGCAGAGTCCTACTGGTCATGGGTTCCACATGTGGAGTTTGTTTTTCTTCTAGTGTTTAGGTCAAACGGTCCGGTGCGGTTGGATGTGGTGAAGGCAATAAAAGTTTCAGCGCATGTTTACATATTTGGAGGAGTGAATCTCTTGCATGGTTTGTCGTTTCTGTCCTGGAGGCCTGTGTGGGCTTCAGCTTTTCATTCCCATGACGAGTTGCTCCCACTCGTGCTCTTTCTTTACTGGTAGACGCTTTTTCTCTTGTAAGTAGTTCCTTGGCTAAGGTCTGTCTTCTTATTTGTTCTTAATTTTTATATTACCATTATTCCACGTGTGACCTGGTTTACTTTAATACGACTTGCCAGGTGTGCTGTCCTTCCTGAGTAAAATGCTCTTGGGACCAAATGGTTGGCTTTAGAAATGTCTCGTTGTTTTCAGGTCAGTTCTGGATTCATTTGCAGAAGCTTTTGTATCTTCGGTGGGTGCACACATGCTTTCAGCTGCGTTGTTGGTGCTGTGATAGATTGCACTTTTTGAATCGGAAGTGTTTCAGACACATTTAACTTGTCAGGCTTTGTGCTTCAGGCTGGGTACGTCCTCCGTTTGGCATATCATGCAATTCAACCATTTGTATGACCGCATCAGCTTGCACAACACTGACGTGTGTGATGACGGCCGTTCCGTCGCTCTCCATTTCTCGACACCAGCAGATCAAAGAATGTTGCTTGAGTTTAACCAGAATAGTTTCCCCTCTCACACCTGTTCTTGCCCCGAAGGCTTCTGTGATTTAAAATAAAGCGTGAAGACGACTGCACAGTTATTTTACAGTGACCTCAGCAGGGAGCGTTGAACCCCTTCTTTTCTACAACTGGACATTTTCTTTGAAAGTTGCAACAGAACAACTGTTTTTTGTTTTTGTTTGTCCTCCTTTTACAGTATTCCTTAAACAAATGTTAAGTTTTTTAAGAACAAGCAGAGGCAAAAAAGTTTCAAAAAGTAATACTGTAAAAGTGTTTGAAATTGACTTATTCTGTCGTCCTTCCGCCAGATGTGAAGCTTTAGTTTGCAAAATTCTGTGTACAAATGACGTATTTCTTTTTCTTCTTTTGCCTTTAAAACAATTCATCCTGTAACCTCTGATAAATGCACTATAATAAAGAGAGTATCTATTATAAAGTGTTGTCCTTCTTGGCAGTTTAATTCTTTCATGCTCCTGTTAGAAAGTCGTATTTGTATTGATCACATGATTATCAAATATAAGAGCATTTAAATTAAAGGCTTGGCAGTCACTGAATAATTCTAAATGCAGGGACTTCAAAAGATAAATTGTAATCGATGACTGGTTCCTTGACTTGTACTTCCGCACCGTCTCCAGCAGAGGGCGCGCGTTCAAACAGTTGCACATCATCGATTATCAGAAGAGAAGTCGTCATGAGACGTCATCACCTTGTTTCTTAGATTGGTTTAGATTTGTAAGAGGACAAAAATCAACCTGTAAACTTGTTGCACATGCCGTTAGAGATCAGAAGTCATTTCTGTCCAGTGTTTGCAGGACACTTTCTAGAATGGTTTATTTAAAAAAAACATTGTTTGGACGTAGAAGAGTGGAGATGAAGGTAAATTTAAAAATTAACATCCCAGCACACTTCACATTCCTCTTGTTTTCTGCAGCATCTTAAATACAGGTGGCTGATTCTCCCATGAGTTGTTACCTTGGCAACAGCGCTTTTTGTACTTACGCAGCGACTGTAAGGGAAATGTGTTAAAGAAGTGCAGGGTTCTGATAGGAGTTTGTATTTAGCTGAAAGAACACACGGATTAAGATTGTCTGTCTTTAATTGGCTGAGCATCCTTTAGTCAGAGGGCAGACTGCATCATGTCCTCACATCGAGCTGCCTGTCTCTCAAGATCTTTGATGGTCTTATCTGGTAAAGTGTTCAAGATCTTTGATGGTCTTATCTGGTAAAGTGTTCATTATTTTACCTCATGGATTAATTCAGTTTGAGTTGTGTCTTCCAAATGCATTCGAGGCTCTTTAACATTTTTATATATTACGAGTCCCATTTCTTTGACTTGGTCTTTCTCACGTTTTAGAACATGATTCACGCACGCACACACACACACACACACACGCACACACGCACACACACGCCACTTGACCTTTAACAGGTGCTGTGCACTCATTCTCACCTAAAAAGTGACAATATACACTCTTTAGTTTCACAGCACATTAACCCTTCACTCACCCTAAAATGAGACTTTCAGCATCTCTTTGTGTCCTGAGTTACCGGTTCACATGTGTCCAGCTGTTTATTGGTATTTAATTGGCTAATGGCACATCTGTTATCATGTCTTTGCCCGTGTCTCTGTGTTTGTCTGTTCTGTTAATGTAATATCCAATGAACCAGTGGGTGGATGTATTGAAACTGTCAGGCAGTAAAACATTTACAGCTCGCTGACATTTGGAGTCAACTCGGTTCAGCTAATAAAAATGATAAAATATCAACAACTTTGTCAGTTTTTGAAATATTGAGCTAATTTTGGTAGTAGCTGAGAATCATTCTCAACACACGTGCTGAGTGCTGACTCATCTCACAAGAGCTGACAGTATCACATGCCACGGTGCAACATAATTAATTTATTTTTTAATTCAAGCTTTATTTATACAGACTCACCTCATTGAGCCACGGGGCCTCAGTTACAAGAGGGACCTGTTCCAGCAGAACAGAACATATAAAGCGCAGACAACAACAACAGTAGACCATGACGACAATAATCTACAGTAAAATGCAGTTCAAATAAGAGTAGTGTATAAAACAATAAACCAGAGTGCCATAAAACAGGCTAAGAAGGTCTGACCCCAAAACTACAGCTCCATCCTCAAGATAAAATGATCTCAGTCTAAAAGTCTGAACGAATGGAAGATGATATGAATTCAGGGAAAGCAAACACTTCCGTTTGGACTATATTTGCAGGAATAATACAACATTTTCTATTTTTTGTATTCGTATACATATCAAGTCATTTTGGAGGCTGCAAAAAGTCAACCATTTTTTTTTAAAGAAAAGAAAACCAACATAATCCATTAAAATACCCCCCCCCCCCCCCCTTTCATTTTGTTGTTCTATCCGTTTTATAACCTTAAACCTGACAGGTCACTGGGAGGTTTAACTGGAAGGTTTAACTGGGAGGTTTAACTGGGAGGTTTAACTGAGGAACTGGTGGATCAGGCAACAGATGACCCCCTGACTCAACCATCCAACATTCATCTGCAGCAACAAACTAACATGGCACGAGTTACCTGTGACTTCTCTACAGACCCAGTCATTGTGCACATTACGCTGTCTGTAATTTTGAATAATGACCTTTACACGTGTAGTCCAATGCATTTATATTGAACCGATAGTCTTTTCACTGATAACATGGATCTGTACACACATGCAGTCCAGTGCATTTATATTGAACCGATAGTCTTTTCACTGATAACATGGATCTGTACATTTCTTGTGTCCCTGATGACCTCCTCCCAGAGGAGACCTGCACTGCACCATTGCTTTTCATCGATCTTGCATAGTTTAGGGACACTGGAAATCGATTGTACAAGACAGGAAAATAATATATTTGTTTCAAGCTTCAGAAGATTATATTGCATATAATTGATCAGCCTTTATTTAGAATTTAAATCTATATTTTCCCCTCCACAATAGATGTATTAATGTAAAACTTTAGTGGTCACTGTCATTTGCTGGCATGTAGAAGTCACAGAAGGTGCACAGCGGTGCTCTTGCAGCTCAGCTGGTGTTTTAAATCCTGACCGTCCCCCCCCCCCCCCCCCCCACACACACGCCAAATTAAAGAGTTCACCAGTGACTACACATTTTTTTTAAGACTGGTAATTTCTGGCCTTTCACATCGCCATGGAAACAGGATTCACTGCTTCATCAGCAGCGGAGGGGCCAAGCGTACTTTGGTTTCACACAGATGGACGAATGCTTTTCAGCAACAAGCTGAATATTTTCATGAATAGATAATTATAAAACACATTTGTCTGCAGATACAGGACTGCACTGGATGGAACTGAACAAAAGAACATGATTAGCCTACATGCAATCAGAATTGGACCTGTTTATTCTTTGCATAGCTGCCTGAAATGACTTTTGTTTTGCACTGGCTTTATGTAGATCCTTTAATAAAAAATAAATAAAATCTGTTAAAGCAGACGTACAACTGATCATCGTTTTGTATGTGGATGCAAATGAGGAACTATCAGCAAAACATTATTTTAAAGTAAACTTCAGTGGCATTAGATTTCTTTGATGTATTCTCCATTTTCCTAATGGAGTCTGAAAATAAATAAAAGAATCACAGAACGCATCTTTAACTGAGCAGCAAATAAGCCCTTAACAGAGAACAGCAGCCGGAAGTGGATTGATTTATCTCAAAAGTGGTGAAAACGATCGATCCCACTCAGTTCAAAATAAACCAACAACATCGAAGAAGTAAAACGTGTAACTATTTTCAAGTTGCGTCAACGCGTACTGATTTAAAAACTGAGCATGCACCAGGAGATTTAAAAACTGTTCACTTCTCCTTTCCTGCTGCTTTGCGCGCACTCCCGAGCTGGGGGAGACAAATTCTCGGGGTTACTTAATTTGACGCAACACCGTCACGGCACGCGCTGTGACGTAAATCCAACGCACCTGTTTTAAGACCTTCAAAATATTACATAATGTATTTAGTTTTAAACATGTTTTAATTTTTGTTTTCTATATATGATGTTCTTCTTTGCGTCAACTTTATTTTCAAGCGAAAGGTTTGAATGTTTTGGTGAGTAAGTGTTTATTCTGCTGTTAGCCTGTTAGCTGGTTTGTTGTTAGCTAACAGTTTTTTCTGTTTGTTTACAAACATGAACAGAAAATAAAATAAAAATAGCCACTTTAAGCTGATTAATATGATTTGAAATACTGTTTCTAAACTAATAATACTCAAAACAAATGGACTTTCCGAGTTAGAAATGCCTTTTAATGTTTACATGTCATATTAAATTTTAATAAAATAGATGTCACGATCTGCCACAGCCAAATAACCTTTGTAAACACAAAATATGCTATAATTTATATTTTACAAATATTTAGCTCAAAAGGTGTAATATCTGAGTTATTCAACTTCTCGTTGAGTCACGAGGCCTCATTTTCAACAGAGACCTGTTTTAGACAAACATACAGACAATTTAATTTAGTTATTCATGTTTGTACAGACAACAATAAACAGCCATAAAATACATATAAAATACAAGTTGCCTTTAAACACAAATTAAAGTCAGGTTACTTTATAAAACAAGGTAAATTACTTTAAACAGGAGCACGTCTGCAGTGATTTATCCACAATGTCACATGAGGTCATAGAATAAATATTAATGCTTGAAGATGTTTACAGCTTTGTTTGTTGACAACATATAACAATTAATGAATAAATTAGTTTGCTTTAAATGCTTAACATACTTTAGAGTGAGTATTTTAAAGAAATGTCCCGCGGTCTGCGTCTTGTGAGCAGTTCTCGGTTCTGGGCCAGTTCTTCGGTTCTGGGCCAGTTCTTTGGTTCTGGGCCAGTTCTTCGGTTCTGGGCCAGTTCTTTGGTTCTGGGCCAGTTCTTTGGTTCTGGGCCAGTTCTTTGGTTCTGGGCCAGTTCTTGGGTTCTGGGCCAGTTCTTGGGTTCTGGGCCGTGTTGCAGAACCTGCTGTTAGAATCTGGAGCTGAAGTTGCTCTTGCAGCCGTTTCTTGCTCGCTGTGACTGAACGTGGGTCAGCGACTCCAGTGGACTTCTCCTCGCCATGTTTTTTATTTTCTCAAGGACGAGCGATGTGAGCGAGCACAACAACAGTGCAGATCGTCACTTTTATTTTAAGACCATTAACTGTTCCTTCATGACTGTAGAAGTGTCCAGCCAAGTTCACACATCAAGTGAAGATCGGTTAGTTTCATTCATGTGAATATTTATATCTTTCGCCTTAGACGGTGTTTGTGGTCTGAACGGGAACGTGCACCAACACACATGCGGCTGTGTGCATTGCTTCATGTACTTTGTGTTTACATGATTTATCTGCAGTGACCGTTACTTTTGCAGTGATACGGTTGGAACACCTCCATCCCCTGCCCAC